GTCAGAAACTGACCCCAAGTTTTGCAGACATGCGTCCAAGGGACGCAACTAGCATGTCTAACCTCAACAACATATGACGGCGGATTGTCCTGCCCATCAACATGACTACTCTGTGGAGTCACAGTTGCCTCGGGAGAAACCAACGGCGACGGAGACAACTCAGCACCGACAGAAGTAGTGGTGGTAAAGACATCTTGTAGGTTGCCTTCATTCCTTCGACTATCAACTAAAGCACGTAAACGAACCACTTCTTGCGAGAGACATGCAATACTGGCCTCCAGACGATCAATTTGACTCTGGTGCTCTGTACGTTCGTGATCCTCCTGCCTTTGACGCTCGTGGAACTTTAAGGTGACCGAATCGATTCGAAGAGGCAAGCCGTCCCAATCAACGGAGAATCCATGCTCAGACGCAGCTGGCGGCTATAAGATAATAACGACAGATGACGTTAACCTCTAGATATCGACAGTCTTAAGAGCGAATAATTGTGGGATAAAATACTTACTTCTCTAGAAGCTGTTAAGTCCCACGAAGTGCTATTTGACAAATTTGTTCGATCAGGAACACCTGGAGCCAAGGGAGTTAGGCTTCTATGTAAAACTTGGTTGTCGCTGTTGTGATTATTTTGCTGAGCTTCACTCTCTTTGCGTGATCGAGTTTGATCGACAGTGAGATTGCTGGGATTAAAATCATCAACGGAATCTCTCCCTCCTATGATAACCCTTTCAGTTTGATTGATGGAGGGTAGATTGATCTGCGAGCCAATGGATTCATCGTTCTCGCCTGAAGATACTGACTCGTCGGCCAGCTTCCGAAATCTGGCACTGAACACGGGACGACCGAAGTAACCATCAACCCAGGCTCTCTAGACAAATGAGCAGAGATTATACAGACAAAGGAACGCGAAACCAATATTTGAGACGAATCTAGGACGACTATTGAGGCTTCTAATTCAATGACAGTCCATAAGGAACGTGAACGAAACCAGCAGAAATTAAGGGGAATGAAAACTACTACTACTGCCTGTTTGGGTAATGGTTTAGATGAAAATTTCTTGAAGCTTAGAGATAACGTTCATGAATCTCGAAAATGGTGCGATACGGTGCTGGGCAATAGTCATCCAAATTAGTGGTCCAAATCAATAACCGAAAACGGGGGGCACCTACCATTCCATCAAAGGCCGCACCGGGCAACGAGATTGTTGATTGGCTTAATGGGGAGAAGGAAGAGGTTGAAGGAAAGGTATGCTGGGTAGTTGAGGCGTCCGTCATTCCTTCTCCCTCGACACCACCCACGCCTGAACAGGAGATAGGTGGAGCATTCAGCGTCTTCGACAGAATATCATCCCCTGCCGTCATTATCCCCTCTGCTTCCTCAGTATCACGGCTGTCA